GGAATGTTGGTGTAGAGGGCTTCTACATCCATAGTGGCCAGGATGGTATTATCAGGAAGATCACCAATGGATTGTAGTTTCCTCAGGAAGTCAGTGGTGTCTCGAAGGTAGCTGGGAGTGCTGGTAGCGTAGGGCCTGAGGAGGGAGTCTACATAGCCAGACAATCCTGCTGTTAGGGTGCCAATGCCTGAGATGATGGGGCGCCCAGGATTTCCAGGTTTATGGATCTTGGGTAGTAGATAGAATATCCCAGGTCGGGGTTCCAGGGGTGTGTCTGTGTGGATTTGTTCTTGTGCTTTTCAGGGAGTTTCTTGAGCAAATGCTGTAGTTTCTTTTGGTAACTCTCAGTGGGATCAGAGGGTAATGGCTTGCAGAAAATGATGTTGGAGAGCTGCCGAGCAGCCTCTTGTTCATATTCCGACCTATTCATGATGACAACAGCACCTCCTTTGTCAGCCTTTTTGATTATGATGTCAGAGTTGTTTCTGAGACTGTGGATGGCATTGTGTTCTGCACGGCTGAGGTTGTGGGGCAAGTGATACTGCTTTTCCACAATTTCAGCCCGTGTACGTTAGCGGAAGCACTCTATGTAGAAGTCCAGTCTGCTGTCTCGACCTTCAGGAGGAGTCCACCTAGAATCCTTCTTTTTGTAGTGTTGGTAGGGAGGTCTCTGTGGATTAGTATGTTGTTCAGAGGTGTGTTGGAAATATTCCTTGAGTCGGAGACGTCGAAAATAGGATTCTAGGTCACCACAGAACTGTATCATGTTCGTGGGGGTGGAGGGGCAGAAGGAGAGGCCCTGAGATAGGACAGCAGCTTCTGCTGGGCTAAGAGTATAGTTGGATAGGTTAACAATATTGCTGAGTGGGTTGAGGGAACCATTGCTGTGGCCCCTTGTGGCATGTAGTAGTTTAGAAAGTTTAGTGTCCTTTTTCTTTTGTAGAGAAGCAAAGCATGTGTTGTAAATGGCTTGTCTAGTTTTAGTAAAGTCCAGCCACGAGGAAGTTTGTGTGGAAGGTTGGTTTTTTATGAGAGTATCCATTTTTGAGAGCTCATTCTTTATCTTTCCCTGTTTGCTGTAGAGGATGTTGATCAGGTGGTTCCACAGTTTCTTTGAGAGCGTGTGGCACAAGCTGTCAGCATAGTCTGTGTGGTATGTAGATTGTAATGGATTTTTTACCTTCAGTCCTTTTGGTACGATGTCCATCTGTTTGCATTTGGAAATGAAGATGATGTCTGTCTGTATCTGTACAAGTTTTTTCATGCAGTTGATAGATTTCCACTCCATATGGTTAAATGCAGTGCCTTGCATAATGACAGGATTCAGAGTAACAGCCGTGTTAGTCTGTATTCTCAAAAAGAAAAGGAGTACTTGTGGCACCTTAGAGACTAACCAATTTATTTGAGCCTAAGCTTTCGTGAGCTACAGCTCACTTCATCGGATGCATACTGTGGAAAATACAGAAGATGTTTATATACATACAAACCATGAAAAAATGGGTGTTTACCACTACAAAAGGTTTTCTGTCTCCCTACCCCACTCTCCTGCTGGTAAAAGCTTATCTAAAGTGATCACTCTCCTTACAATGTGTATGATAATCAAGGTGGGCCATTTCCAGCACAAATCCAGGGTTTAACAAGAACCGTCAGAGGAAGGGGGGCAGGGTAGGAAAAAACAAGGAGAAATAGGTTACCTTGCATAGTGACTTAGCCAACACCCATTTTTTCATGGTTTGTATGTATATAAACATCTTCTGTATTTTCCACAGTATGCATCCGATGAAGTGAGCTGTAGCTCACGAAAGCTTAGGCTCAAATAAATTGGTTAGTCTCTAAGGTGCCACAAGTACTCCTTTTCTTTTTGCCATATTTACTATTCTTTCTACACATCGGGATGGTTTGTCCCTGTAACCTCAATAAGGATTCTTTAAAATACAGCCAGCTCTCCTGGACTCCTTTCCCCCTCATGTTATTCTCCCAGGGGATCTTACCCATCAGTTCCCTGAGGGAGTCAAAGTCTGCTTTTTTGAAGTCCAGGGTCCGTATTCTGCTGCTTTCCTTTCTTCCTTGTGTCAGGATCCTGAACTCGACAATCTCATGGTCACTGCCTCCCAGGTTCCCATCCACTTTTGCTTCCCCTACTAATTCTTCCCGGTTTGTGAGCAGCAAGTCAAGAAGAGCTCTGCCCCTAGTTGGTTCCACCAGCACTTGCACCAGGAAATTGTCCCCTACATTTTCCAAAAACTTCCTGGATTGTCTGTGCACCGCTGTATTGCTCTCCCAGCAGATATCAGGGTGATTGAAGTCTCACATGAGGACCAGGGCGTGTGATCTAGTAACTTCTGCGAGTTGCCGGAAGAAAGCCTCGTCCATCTCATCCCCCTGGTCTGGTGGTCTATAGTAGACTCCCACCACGACATCACCCTTGTTGCTCACACTTCTAAACTTAATCCAGAGACGCTCAGGTTTTTCTGCAGTTTCATACTTGAGCTCTGAGCAATCATACTGCTCTCTTACATACAGTGCAACTCCCCTACCTTTTCTGCCCTGCCTGTCCTTCCTGAACAGCTTATATCCATCCATGACAGTACTCCAGTCATGTGAGTTATCCCACCAAGTCTCTGTTATTCCAATCACATCATAATTCCTTGACTTTGCCAGGACTTCCAGTTCTCCCTGCTTGTTTCCCAGGGTTCATGCATTTGTGTATAGGCACTTGAGATAACCCGCTGATCGCCCCTCTTTCTCAGTATGAGGCAGGAGCCCTCCCCTCTCACGCGCTCCTGCTCCTGCTTCCTCCCGGTATCCCACTTCCCCACTTACCTCAGGGCTTTGGTCTCCTTCCCCCGGTGAACCTAGTTTAAAGCCCTCCTCGCTAGGTTAGCCAGCCTGCTTGCGAAGATGCTCTTCCCTCTCTTCTTTAGGTTGAGCTCGTCACTGCCTAGCACTCCTTCTTCTTGGAACACCATCCCATGGTCAAAGAATCCAAAGGCTTCTCTCTGACACCATCTGTGTAGCCATTTGTTGACTTCCACGATTCGACGGTCTCTACCCAGGCCTTTTCCTTCCACGGGGAGGATGGACGAGAACACCACTTGCGCCTCAAACTCCTTTATTCTTCTTCCCAGAGCCACGTAGTCTGCAGTGATCCGCTCAAGGTCATTCTTGGCAGTATCATTGGTGCCCACGTGGAGAAGCAGGAAGGGGTAGCGATCCGAGGGCTTGATGAGTCTCGGTAGTCTGTCTGTCACATCGCGAATCTTAGCTCCTGGCAAGCAGCAGACTTCTCGGTTTTCCCGATCCGGGCGGCAGATAGATGACTCAGTCCCCCTGAGGAGAGAGTCCCCGACCACCACCACCCGCCTCCTTCTCTTGGGAGCAGTGGTTGTGGAACCCCCAACCCTAGGACAGTGCATCTTATGCCTTCCACGACTTCACACCTTTTGCTAAAATCTAAACAGAGTCTTATAATTCTAATACCCATTTTAATAATACAGTCCTACAGGTGTCCCAGACTGGTTCCAGCCGTGTATTTCTCAGTGTTCAGTGGAGACATGGGGATCTTGGCATGAGCTTGTTGGGGACACTGGGGCATGGCCACTAGGTAACTCGAGGGGATGGAAGACCACGAGTGTCGATGAAGCCCCCTCGCACTAGGCCCAGGTGTCCTTGGCCCCCTCCCCACTTGGAGGCACTTGCAGTAGCTTTGTATATTAGGCCCAAGTATCCTTGGCCCCCCCCGCCTGGAGGCACACACAGCAGTTATGCTGAGAATCTGCAACAATATGGTGCAGAGTCAGACTGCCTGAAACTAAGCAAGGCCACACAGGGCAGATATGGAAGAACAATGCTGAATAAAGCAGCTTTATGTATAGTTTAACAAATGATACAGAGAACCAGGGAACTAGCTGGGAACTGGATTGGCTAGCTATATGGATACTTGGGGCAGCTTGCTATTGGATAAGTAAGCTGGGAAAAAGGATGTATAAAAAGCCTGTGTAACTTCCTGCTCTGTGTACAGAATTTGAGATTCAAATCTCCCTGTACCTATTTGAAGCTTCAAATAAACTTTTCTGCTTTTTCCACCCCGTTGTGATTATTGAGTGTAGCACACCGGGTAACGAACCACTCAAGCTGTTGTTCAGCCTCTCGGCACTGGGTGCCGGCAACAAGCTGGCACCTCTAGCCAGCGTCACAGTCACGTAGTGGGGTGTTTGTGACATCATCACATGGTGCTGAAGCGATGGCACACAGTAATGGAATGATGGGTTGAAGGGAGAAAGATACAGTAACAGTGGGGGTAAAGTCCATGACCTCATAACATGTAGTGACCTCGCAAAGGGATGTGACAGCCACGTCAAGGGAGCCTATTGAGATGTTGCATAATGATGCGATAATGGGTTGATGCTAGATGTCACGTGATGACATCCTAGTGAAATGACACACTAATGGCAGTGAATGCAAGGCGGACATGATGTCATAGAAACACAGCCTGTTGCAGGTGGGTTTGTATGAGGCCAATGTGATGTTAAATGATGATGTCATGATACAGTAATGGGATTTTGATGCATTTTGATGGCATGAGGGTGCATTGTCATAAGGTCCCTATGACATCACAAAGGCACTAGAATGGGGGTGACGCGAAGCTGCTGTGATGTCATGTGAGGGTGTCATAGTGACAGGAGATGGTGGATTGATGTGAGGCCCCTGATGTTACATGATGGCATCACAATGGCACATCAATGGTAGGTTGCATGGGGTCACTGTGGTTTCCTATGATTATGTCACAATGGAACAGAAGAGTGGCTTGAGCGGGATGCTGTGATGTCACACAATGACATCACTATGCACGCCTATGATGCTTGGGGTGTCATCCCTGTTACCATGGTGCCCGCACCCCTCGTTCGAGCTCTATCACTGGGGGGCCTAGCCTGGGGGAGGGGGAGGGTCTAGTTGCTGCTGCGGGGACGTTGCTAGGGGCGGTTGCTAGGGCCGGAGGAAGCACTTCCGGCGTTGGGGCCCGATGTGCCCCGGAAGCGCTTGCTAGGTGCGGGCTGCAGCTCAAAGATGGCGGCGGAGGAGCCTCTGCAGAAGCCGGAGCCGCTGGGGGGGGACACGGATGGTAATGGGGGGAGGGGCGTCCGGGGAGCCCCCATAAGGTACTGAGGGGGGAGGGGCGGGCCCCCGGAGAGAGATGGACCCCCCTGGACCCGGCAATACCCGCAGCCCGAGGCAAGGCCCTGCCACCCCCCGCGGGGAGGGACAAGGGCCCCCGGAGCGCCCCGCCCGAATGCGTCCTTGCCCCTATAACAGAGGGAGGGACAGGGTGGTGCGGGGACCCCTTTAGAGAGACAGGAGCCCCAGCTCTACCTCTCCCCCAGGCCTGGCTTCCCCTCCCCAGGCAAAGGTTCCTCCCCCAGCCCCAGGCCCCCGACCGCAGAGATAAGGTTCGTCCCGAATCCAGGGCAGGCTTCTCTCCCCTGGAGCCCAGCTCCCTACAGGAAACTCCTTTTCTGCCCCCCAGATCCTGGCTCTGCTTCCCTCCCTTGCTAGCATCCCCCATAGGAAACTCCTTCCTTCCCCCCCCCCCCCCGAGCACCCCTTCCCAGAACTGGCTCCCCCAGACTTCAGAGAAAAGGTCCCTTCCCCAGACTCGCTCATCTGCCCACTTCCCCTCCTCTTCCACAGGAATCACTTCCCCCCCCCCCCCCAACATTCCCCCAAGGGCCAGGAGCTGCCTCCCCCCACAGGGAGCTCCTCCCCTCACCCCAAACCTCAGGGAAATGGTTTCTTCCCCAAATCCCACACATGCTTTCCCCCTGTGGGAGAGGATTGTCCTGCTCCAAATCACACACCTGCCTCCTCTTAGGAGCTGCACCCCACAGTTCTCACCACAGGAAACTCCTCCCCTTACCCTAAGTCTCACAACCCTCACATGCACACAGGATCTGCCTCCCCCCATCCCCTGGGGCCGTGATCCCCTTCCTCTCCAGGAAAGGCCTCCCTTCATTCCAAATCTCAGACCACTCCCCCCACACACACAGGATCTGCCTCCTTCTCCGTGTCTCCTGGAAGCTGCTCTCTGTCCCCATCCACAACCAGCAGGAATGGGAAACTCCTCTTCCCCCCCATACCTACTTGCCCCCCCCACATAATCCCCAGGGAAAAGGTCACCCCTTTACTTCCAACTCCCTCCTCTTCCAAGTATACAGGGAGTCCCTTGCACCCCAAAGACAGGACTCTCCACAAAGTGTCCTGAGGCCTAGTGCCCCCTTCCCAATATGCACCAACCCATTCTGCCCAGCTCCTGCAATGGTAGCAATCAGCCCACCGTACCCACAGCATCCCTGGGAGCAGGATCCAGCCCCATCTGTTCCCTCAGGCCTAGAGATGAGGTTGCCCATGTGATACAGGATTCCCCAGTCTTGCTGCAGTGCATGCTATAGCCTGCCCTACCCTGCTCCTCCATCAGCAGGGGCCCTGGAGACACATTCCTCCCCAGCTCTGGCAATGAGAATCCCCACCCCACTCGTTACACTTTAATATACATCCTACTCTGCTCATTCACTGGCTGTATGCACCCCAACCCCTGCAACACCTCTCTGAGAGACATGATCTGCATCCCCACCACCACCCCATGGGGGACAGGATTCCCACCATCTGTTCCCTGAGGCCTAGAGACCTAGCCCCCACACTCTGACCTATGTGCAGTCCACATCAACCTGCCCCCACACCCCATCAGCAGGATCTGTGCCCACCCCAGCCCTGACTTCCCTGTGAGGCAGGATCCCACTCTGGGCCCCTGAGGACATTCCCTCCACTTGGTCACACGTCTCTTACTGCTATGTGGTGAGGATTAGGAAACCTGATGTGGGGGGAAGAACCTCCAAACCAAATCACCTGTTGCAAGGGAGTCCTAAAGCTCCCATCAGCATGTCCTTCCCTTAACCCAGCTCCCAATACCCTCTGATTACCCCCTCCCTCCTCAAAATCCAGCACCCCACATCCCCCCACTCCCATCAAGCATCCCAGATGGTTTCACTTAAAACCTTGCTTGGGCCATCCCTAACTGAAAGCAATAAATAATGTCTTAATTGTTTGTTTGAAGGTGGCGGGGGGACTGTTAGAAAAAGCGATGGCTCTGCATAATGAGGGGCATCTGGGGTGGCTTGGAGTGAAGAAAACAGACTCCCTCCCTCCCTCTCCAGTAGCTTCCCAATCTGCTTTGTCCCCTTTAAGAACAGTCCCTGCCTCTGGAGTATTACCGATAAACACAGTTTAAATTCTGTTTGTGTTGCAGAATAAAGGCTATTTTGGTTGCGATGTCCCCAGTAGAGTCAGTTCCGGTTCACGTCAACAAGAAAAATTCTGGACTCTTATCCAGATGGTTCTGTTGATAAATAGGGCTGTGGTCCGTCTGGATCTGCTCTGGGGAAGACTCTTGTTGTGGGGTATCCCGGTTCTTCCTCAGTAGGCTGAGGAAAATGGGGACATGTGCACCCCATGTGGTTCTTTCCACCTTGTGTTATGTGGCCTCTGCAGAGCAAGAGAGGGGATCTGTACTGCATTAGCAGGGATGCATGCCGTTGGGCTGGGAGTCAGACTTGGGGACTCCCGTTTACCAGTGATGTATGCAATGGAACGGGCCCAAATTGCTTTCTCATCTTCCTGCAGAGCTGGCAAAGCTTGTCTCTGTCTTTGAACTAAGCCAGACAGCACTGAATGGCGGACGGGTAGCAGTGATAAACAGGAGGCTGTTTACACCCGAAAGTTAGTCGTCTTTGGGAGATTTGTTTGAGGTGAAGCTCAGTAGGACTCCTGGGTTCTAAGCCTTGCTCAAAATTATTACTCCTTGGTTTCCCCATAAAAGAGGGGTGATATCGTGTCGCTGGATATAGAGGAGATTGTAGAGGGAGGATGGGAGAGTGGTTTCAATGGGCCAGATCCCCACCTATAGCTCTAGGGACTTGTGCTGAGCTAGGGCCATTTACACAAGCTAAGGATGTGGCTCAATGAGTTGATATAATTTCAGCTATCACACTGTTGTGGTTTATTGTTCATAGATTTTCAGGCTAGGACAGGGGATCATTTGCTTGAGGCCCAGGGGCTCTAATCCAACTTTGCTCTCAAATCCCCCTGCAATTTCTGTGATTTTTACAGTTCCATTGTTTAGCCTGACCAAACGAAGGCTGAGGGAGGATCTGTTTGTACTCCATGAATGCACCGGGGGGTTAACCCCTGGGAGGGAGAAGAACTACTGAAGCTAAAGGACAGTGTTGGCACAAGAGCAGATGGGGTTAACTGGCCAGGAATCGATGGGGGCTGGCAATGGGAAGAAGGTTTCCGCCCATCAGAGGAGGAAGGTTCTGGAACGGCCTCCCCATAGGAGCAGTGGGGAGCAAACACCCCAACTAGTTTGAAGATGGAGCTGGATACGTTTCAGATGGGGCTGCCTGCGCTAGCAGGGCCTGGAGGCCATGACCCAAGTGGTCCCTCCAGTCCTCTGTCCAGGAATAAAGTGTAAAGCACCTGTATAGTGGGTATAACTGCATCCACACTAGCGGTTGTGCTGCTCTAGCTATACCGGTGTAGTTAGTGAGTCATAGAGTGCAAGGCCCGAAGGGACCATGAGATCCTCTAGTCTGAGCTGTATAGAACAGGCCCGGGCATTTCACCCGCTTCCCCCTGTATTTAGCCCATTTGCTTATAGCTGACTCAAGCCTCTTTCAGAAAGGCCACCGGTGTTGAGATGGAGAATCCATCGCTTGGCTGGGGAGTTTGTGACAATGCTTAATCCCTGGGATGGTTAAAAATCAATTCCTTTAGTTAAAGCAACACAACTTTTGTGCATCAACAAGACCCGCAAATCTTAGCTGCTAGTTGTGCCAACTTTTGAGGACAGAGTGTGGCCATTTAGAAGCTGACGGTGCCGCCTTAATATCTGCAATGCATGTTGTAGCAAAAGCATCATGGATTTGCCTAATGGTATTTACAAACAATAGCTTCAGTTTCTGTTTGCTAAAGAGCTACTTGTGCCTGTAATGAGTTGAGCTTAAAAAGACCAATTCTGACCTCTGCCGAGGCCACTGGCTGGAGCTGCACACAGAAGATGCATTGATTAGTTACAGCTACACTTCTTACTGAACAAGAAGAGTATCTGTGTTACAGAAGGAATCTGTAAAGCAAGCCCTGTTTGGTCTCTCAGCTTCCGGGTCAGCGTTGTCTTCCTTGTGTTGGGGTTATTCCGTTTGCTCTACCTTCTCCCGGGAGAATATTTGCTGGCTGAACTCGAAAATTAACCCTAGAAGGGAAATGGCTCATTTTGGCAATACGATGCACAAATTGATCTCTGACCTAGATCGGGGACTCCATTGAGCCAGGCGCTGTGCCGGCTTCCCTGACCAATACTGAGGGAGGAGGACCTACTGGGCCGGGAGCTAGACAGGACCCCTCCCACCTCCCCTGACTGAGATCAGGGAACCATCATGCTGGGTGCTGCACAGACATCCAGCGAGAGAGAGAGTCCCCAAAGAGCTCACAGCCTAAATAGCAGAGGAAGGCTCATTAGCCCATTTTGCAGAGGGGGAAGCTGGAGGCCCAGAGAGATGAAAGAACTCGCTCAAATGCTATGATGGAGCCAGAAACTGAACCCACATCTCCTGAGTCTCAGCCCAGTGACCTGACCCGAAGGACTAGTCTTCCCCCTCCAGCTGTGCGGATGGAGTTCTGTCTTGGGCAGTGTTGGCATTGCAGCGTGGGGGAAGGGTGATGGGAGCAAAGGTCAATTGAGACTGAACCTTGGGGAACTCATCTTTATGGCAGGATGGTGACCCCTAAGGTGTGGGGGGTGACATTGGAGACTGGAGCCCACGGGGGTCTGAACTGGCGGGGGTGCAGCTGGCGTGGGATAAGCATCTAATTCCATCTCTTTTTCTCTTCCAGGAGTTAACTGTTTGGCATACGATGAAGCCATCATGGCTCAGCAGGATCGCATCCAGCAGGAGGTGAGGCTTCAGAGGGTCTTTGGGTGCAGGGAGAAGTAGTCTGCCAGATCCGAGATGGGTCAGCGAGTGGATCTCAGTGGGGCCTTTGTGTCCTTGCTCTCCCTTCACAGTTTCTGATAGTTTCACTTTCCATCTCCAGCCTCTGGGATGTTGGGGTTTTGGTACCTGGCCGCTGCCCTCCCTGTGCTAACCCCTCAAATCTCTCCCACAGGGGCTGCATGTAGCCTCAGTCATGTTCCCCCTAACCTGCAGCCGCTCAGCTGAGGGCAAACTGCTCCCACCGCTAATCTATGAGGACGCAGCCGTCCTTCACCCCAGCTCCATCCTTTGGCTCAACAGCAAACTGGGAGCATGGGTACGGATGTCAGGACTCCTGGGGCCTGGGATCCTATCTAGGGGAGGGCAGTAGGGGGTGGTTGAGACTCTTGAGGTGGACTTAGGCTTGGTGTGGCGTGGGAATAGATGGTGCTGGGAGTGTGTGTGTCAGGGCCTCCAGGGGCAGAGGGGGGAGGAAGAGGCGGGCTGGGGGGTGGTCCCCTGGGGGCTAAAGGAGGCAGTGTTGGGGCTCCTGGTCCAAGGGTGCTAGGCAACATGGGGGCACTGTGTAATGGTATGAGGGGCTCATGAGGACTGGTTGAAAATTTTCCATCAAAATGCTCTTCCAAAAAGAATCAGGGTTCTGACAGCAGATTTTTCTGCAAAAAGCAGCAGCAGCTTCTTTGAGTGATGGTTCCTGCTGTAGTCCGGGGAGGGTTTATGCTTGCGTCGTGCGCCCAGAGGTCTTGAAAGTATTCGTGTCTGTAGTTCTGCGCATGCGCCCTCACCTTGCCTCATGGCTTCGTCCAAGGTGACAAAGGGCAGGGCAGACCGACCGCGTCTCCAGTTCCTCCTCACCACCGCATGGTCCAAGTCAGAGCTAATAGTGTCCTCTTGTGTCTGACACACTTAAAAATAAAAAGGATTTGAATTGTACATAGTTTTAGTCTTTCTTTTTTTTACTGTAGTTTAGCATTTAGTAGTAATTCTTAGGATATAAGAGTCTTTGGGGAATCTGTTACCAGTCCCTCCCACCCAATCCAGCACCCACATCTGGGTACTGGATTATGCCAAAGACTCCAGGGTTCAAGATCTGCGTCTCCTGCCCACGTTTGTTCTTGGTCAGCGATGAGCACCAGTGCTGGTCTGATGCTTGGGAGAAGCCCACGTTTCATCCAGGTGCAGTATCTGCCTGTCCTTCCCAGGCCATACCCAAGAAGGCCAGGCTCTCTGCCTCAAGAAGCACATCATGGAAGTTGCCATGAGGCCGCAGTCGGATCCAGGGCAGGGAACCTCCCCGGCCCCATACATCATCCTGAGAAACCCAGGGGTGCGCCTCCAACTGCAGAGATTGAGTCCGGTTCTGCCAGTACCAGTACTACGGACCCCATGCCGGAGCCTAGTTGGCAAGAAAGCATGCGCATAAGCATGGCAGTCAGTCTTGTTCCAGCCCCAAGAAGGGCAATGCGCCTTCCACGAGTTCCAGCCACGGAGAAGTGGTGCATTCGAAGGCTCACAAGCATGACAAGAAATCTCACAGACTGGTGGATCCGCCAGTTACTGTGCACACCTTCCAAATCAGCCACCTCTAAGTCAACAGAACCATCAATTTCGAAACAGTCCTCTGCTCCAGCTCCAGTTCCGGATGCGGAGCGCGTGCCATTAACACCGGGGAGATTGGAGACAGTGCCTGGGCCTCATGAACTCTTTGCTCTGGAAGAAATGAGGTCTCCACACCTTCCTTTACAGTCTGAGCCTATGGAGGTACGATCTCCAACCCAGGACGTATCTCAGTTGAGTTGTGCTTCCACCCGTTCCCCTACAGCTTACATGGTTCCACCGGTTCCGACGTTACCGGCATTCGAACCAGGATCTGAGTTTTCCTTGTTGGAGGATTTGGGTGGAGTGCAGGGGCTGTCCATCTCCTAACACCGCTACAAATACCCTAAGGGTTTACCAACTTAGTGGCAGTACCCTCCTCTACCCCAGCAGAGAAACCACTGATATCCCGCTCCATGAGGCCCTCAGCAGCATCTGCTGGATCCATCCTTTGGCCATACTGGGGACCCTGGCCTCAATATCCACCTTCAGAGCCTTCCCATTCAGCAAGAGAGGATTCACCCCATCCCTGCTTTGGGCATCCTTGAGCAGATGTTTGGAACTGGTTTTGGAGGATGAGCCGTTCAGTCTGGTACCGCCGGAACAGGAACGATTTCTGTCGTCTTCTCCAGACACAACAGTGACCTTGGCTCCCCCCGACCCCCAGATGATTTTCACCAGTTCCAGGACCTCCTACACAGATTCTTCATATACCACTGGAGGGAAGTATAGGACAAACAGCATCAGCTTCGGGACAGCCTTCAGGCCTCGGTACCGACATTCAGGTCTCGGTACAGACCAGGGTTGCTCTACCAATCAATGATACCATTCTTCAGCTGGCTCATACCATTTGGCATACCCCAGACACTGATGCTCCTACCCTCAAGGGTGCCAGCTAAGGGGTCTGAGTTTCTGTTCTCTCACCCCCACCCAATTCCCTCAGGATCCAAGTGGCAATTGAGCAGGCCAGGCAGCAGCACTCATGCGCCCCCTTGGTGGACAAGGCAGGCAAGTGGCTGGCCCTTCTGGGTGGCAACTACAGTAAATTCAAGGACTTTATTTTCAGTTGAGAAAGTCATATTTGGCCAATAAGGCCTGGTAGTTCAAGATCTGAAATTGGAAGCTAGCCCACAAGAAGACCTTGTGACCCATAAGGTCCAGCCACTTGCCTTCCTTTTCTGCTGGGTGGACATTTTTTACCAGTGCGACAATAATGGACAAGTGCGTCCTGGATGTCATTCAACATGGCTATAAGATTGAGTTCATGACACTACCTCACCCCCGACTTGGCCCCTCCTCAGGGACCACTCTCATTACAGCATCCTCGCTCTAGAGGTCAACTCCCTACTTCAAAGGGGAGTGATAGAGCATGTTCCTCCGGACTATCAGGGTACCGGGTTCTATTCCACTTATTTTCTAGTACCCGAGAAGAAGGGCAGGTGGAGACCAATCCTGGACCTCCGACGTCATAATTGCTTTATATGCAAGCCAAAGTTCCGTATGGTCACCTTAGCAGCCATCATATCATCTGTAGAAAGAGGCATGTGGTTTATGGCTCTCGTTATGCAGGGCACCTATTTTTGCATAGATGGGGAGATTCTCGATATTCACAGTAGGCCCTTAACACTTCCAATACGGAGTCCTACCGTTTGGACTCACCACTGCTTCACAGGTCTTCACCAAAATTCTCTCTGTCATAGTGGCCCACCACTGGTGTCACAAGGTCCTTATATTTCCCTGTTTCGATAACTGGCTGCTAGCAGCGCGATCCAGGGACGAGGGTTGAACCTCAACCTCCATGTTACTCGGTGTCACGGAGTTCTCGGGCAATGCTGTGGAACTGCTCCCTACGAAGCCAGTCAGGACTCTGGTGAAGTCTCCTCTCTGTGAGCAGACTGTCTGCAGGGCAAAAAGCTCACACGGCTTCTACCTTCCCGGGTCTGACCTCGGAGCATTCAGCATCCTCTGCCACTCCATGCGCTTCCCACAGTGAGTCCGCCCGGGCGGGGTCCTGGGGAAGCCAGAGGGTCCTGCACCCCAACTTCGCAGTCAGACGTGACTCTCAGCCAGCCAGTAAAACAGAAGATTTATTAGATGACAGGAACACAGTCTAAAACAGAGCTTGTAGGTACAGAGAACAGGACCCCTCAGCCAGGTCCATTTTGGGGGGCAGTGAGCCAGTCTGCACTTCACGCCACATCCCCAGCCAGCCCCCAACTGACTCACCCTCCACCTCCTCCTCCTCTGGGCTTTGTCCCTTTCCCGGGCCAGGAGGTCACCTGATTCCTTTGTTCTCCAATCTTTAGCTATTACCTTGCAGGGGTGAAGGGCCCAGGCCATCAGTTGCCAAGAGACAGAGTGTCGGCCATTTATGTACACTGGCCCTTTGCTCTGCAACAATTACACCCCCTTATCCCACCACCTAGAGACTTAATAAATGCATAGGGGAAACTGAGGCACACCTACAGTATTCAGAGGAAACATTAAGAACAGTCCCACTTCGTCACACTCGGACTACTTTCTTCCCTGGGGGGTAAGCGTAAATGTCGAAAAACCAACTTTGGTTCCCAGGCAATCCCTGCATTTCATAGGGGCTCCATCGACTCAGTCTCAGCACAAGCCTACTTACCGTGGACAGGTTCCAGACCCTACAGGAACTCATCACCCAAGTAGTCAATGGTCCTTCTGTTCTGTCAGGACTTGCCTATCCCTCCTTGGCCACGTGGCAGCCTGCACATACATCACCGCCTTGGCTCACCTCCGATTTAGCTGACTTCAGCTGTGGCTCCAAAAAATCTAGTCGCCGACAGAATACAACAGAAAGTCCGTGGTATTAGTGCCTCCCGAGGTGCTCTCCTTGTTCCAGTGGTGGATGTACCTGAGACAGGTCTGCGCTGGGATGCCATTCCTCTCATCTTCGTTGGACATGACAATCATCATGGACGCATAACTCTCCAGAGGGGGTGCCCACGTCGGGGAGCACATGATGCAAGGGACCTAGACCCCTCGGGAATCCAGAATACACATCAACATCATGGCGCTTCGGGCGTTACGGTGAGTGTGTCGCGCATTTCTTCCATCCATTTACTTCCATCGTGTTCTCATCATATCTGACAACATCACCATTATTTATTACATCAACAAGCAAGAGGTCATGAGGTCGACTACACTCTCTGCAGAAGCGGTTTGTTTATGGGATTGGTACATTGCCCACAAGATCCTATTGACGGCAGCCTATCTTCCAGGGGCTCAGAACATGATTGCAGACTCTCTCAGCAGGACATTTATGGCCGATCACAAATGGGAGCTTCACGACACTGTGGTCAACAACGTTCTGACTGGAAGGGCATATCGAGTGGGGTTCCACAGGGATCAGTTCTGGGTCCGGTTCTGTTCAATATCTTCATCAGCGATTTAGATAACGGCATAGAGAGTACATTTATAAAGTTTGTGGGTGATACCAAGCTGGGAGGGGTTGCAAGTGCTTTAGAGAATAGGATTAAAATTCAAAATGATCTGGACAAACTGGAGAAATGATCTGAAGTAAATAGAATGTAATTCAGTAAGGACAAATGCAAAGTACTCCACTTTGGAAGGAACAATCGGTTGCACACCTACAAAATGGGAAATGGCTGCCTACGAAGAAGTACTGCAGAAAGGGATCTGGGAGCTGTAGTGGTTCACAAGTTAAACAGGAGTCAGCAGTGTAATATGTTGCAAAAAAAGCAAACATCATTCTGGGATGTATTAGCAGGAGTGTTGTAAACCAGACTTGAGAAGTAATTCTTCCTCTCTACTCTGCACTGATATGGCCTCAGCTGGAGTATTGTGTCCAGTTCTGGGCACCACATTTCAGGAAGGATGTGGACAAATTGGAGAGAGTCCAGAGAAGAGCGACAAAAATTATTACAGGTCTAGAAAACATGACCTATGAGGGAAGATTGAAAAAATTGGGTTGGTTAAGTCTGGAGAAGAGAAGACTGAGAGGGGACATAAATATTTTCAAGTACATTAAAGGTTGTTACAAGGAGGACGGAGAAAAATTGTTCTCCTTAATCTTTGAGGTTTGGACAAGAAGCAATGGGCTTTAATTGCAGCAAGGGCAGATAAGGTTGGACATTAGGAAAAACTTCCTAACTGTCAGGATGGTTAAGCACTGGAATAAATTGCCTAGGGAAGTTGTGGAATCTCCGTCATTGGAGATTTTTAAGAGCAGGTTAGACAAACACCTGTCAGGGATGGTCTAGATCAGTGCTACTCAAAGTGGTGGTCCGCGGACTGGTGCCAGTCCGCGAGCCATCAGCTGCCAGTCTGTGCGCACATTGGAAAAAAAAATTGCCGGTCCTCCACATCAGATAGTGTGAGAAGCACTGGTCTAGATAATACTTAGTCCTGCCTTGCGTGCAGGGCACTGGACTAGATGACCTCTTGAGGTCCCTTCCAGTCCTACGATTCTATGATTTTCAGCCAATGTGGGATTCTGACCATGGATCTCTTTGTCTTCCATGCCAACACCAAGTGCACCACGTACTGCTCCAGGGGATGGGGGGAGGCTTGGCGCCCATTCCCAGAGTGATGACCTTGTCCTCTGCTGGTCAGACCAGATAACTTGCGCGTTTCCCCTTCTAACACTCCTGCCATGAGTCCTCCACGTTATCAGGCGGGAGAAGGCAATGGTTATTCAGATGGCCCCGTTCTGGCCACGCCAGCTCTGGTTTCCACAGCTCCTCCACATGTCAGCTCGTCCTCCGTTTCTCCTCCCAGCTTTCCCAGAACTGCATTCACAGAATGGCGGCAGGATCAGGCATCCTGTTCTGAAGATGTTTCACCTCAGAGCTTAATTTTTGGGTAGGCATCTTTGCTAGAATGGGAATGTTTGTCGGCAGTACAAGACATCCCTTTGAGCAGAAGGAAGGAGTCGACAGGGCGTTCCTATCAGGCCAAGTGGAAGTGCTTTGCCTACTCAATTCCATTAAGATCCACATAGCAGTTGTCAGTGGCTTCCACCCTACTGTGGAAGGGCAGTCCATATGTACACATCCATTGACTGCCACGTTTTGGAAGGGCCTCCTTAGAATCTTCCCACCCATTCAACTTATCGCTCCCCAATGGGACCTCAATCTTGTTCGCTCAACATTAATGAAGTCACCCTTCGAACCACTGGCTTCCTGCTCCCTGTCCCTCCTTTCCATGAAGGTCATCTTCCTGGTAGCTATTCCTTCTGCGAGAAGGATAGGCGCACTGGGGCTGTGATGGCAGACCCCCTTTCACCACGTTCCGTAAGGACAAAGTTTCCGTGCGTCTGCATCCCAAGTTTCTGCCAAAGGTTGTATCCTACTTTCATCTCAACCAACCCATACACTTACCTGCTTTCTTTCCGAAGCCATACGCCTCAGCAGAGGAACAGTGCCTGTGCTCACTCGATGTCCGTGAGGCCCCGGCCTTTTACCTGCCGAGGACGAGACCATTCCGGAAGTCCCCAGACTGTTGCAATAGCTGAAAGACTTAAGGGGCAGGTGATCTCCACACAGTGGATTTCAGGGTACATTACTCTCTGTTATCGGGACTGCCTCCCACTCTTCGGGGTGAGAGCCCATTCTGCGAGAGCTCCATCATCGACTGTGGCTGCCCTTCATGACGTACTGCTTTCAGACATATTTAGGGTGGCCACGTGGCATTGAGGATGACATACCTTTGCTGTACATTACGCAATACAAAATTCTGTGATGGATGCCTTGTTCTTCATGGCTGTCCTCTGTTCAGCCATTCCCCCCCTCCCTTGCACCCTCTTCTGAATTAGGTACTGCTTGTTAATCACCCTCCGTGGAATACAATAGGGACCATCACTCAAAGAAGAAGGGGAGGTTACTTACCTGTAACTGAGGGTTCTTCGAGAGGTGTGGTCCTGTAGTAGGGTGTAGCAGGGCCCCCTTTGCTCCTGTCTGCTGCATTCACAAACCACTCAGAGACCCCGGAGCTCAGCAATCACGGTGCAGTTTATTTATAGCATGTGCTCCCACCGCCTTCCCACCACATACAGCTTGGGTTTCCAGCCTTACGGACTTTTCCGCTTCTGCACCCAGGAGGGAAGGGCTACCGCTGTCCTTCCACTCTCTGGCTCCCTGCTTGCTTCCTTCCTCTGGGCCTGTATGTAGCCCCAGGCTAATTAGGCTGGCAGCTGTTTCCCATTCGCCAATCAGGTGCAGGTTTCTCTAGCCAGTTCCAATTTACCTCCCTTAATTGGAGCTGGTGTGACAGAGGGCTGGCTCAGGAGTTCCTGCCCAGCACCCTGTCACAGGTCCCTATCTGTATTCCACTTCCCATCCTGCTTCCCCCTCTGCTGCGGACCTGTTTGATTTGCGGTGCAGAAGGAACTGGAGAGGCGGTTGGTCCGCCCCACCCTTTATCGTCTCGGGTGAAACCATGAGGTGCGAGGCAAAGGGGCACACGCAGACCAACAGACACAACTACTTCCAAAATCTCTGGCTCCGGACGCGTGGCGCATGCGTAACCCTCAGTGGAATACAGATAGGGACCACACATCTCCGAGAACCTCCAGCAACAGGTAAGTAACTCCCTCTTCCCTGGGAAAAATGTGTGTGTGGGGGGGATTTTTCTGTGAAAAAATCCCAACCTGAATGTCCAAATGTTTTGATTCTGAAATGCTGCTGCAGTGCCTCATGGGAGTTGCAGTTCAGGTGCCTTGTGCTCCCGTTCTCCTCTATGGCTGGGCTTTCCAGCTGGACTACGTCCCCCGTGATGCACCATGGCTGTCGCATTCTCTTGCTTAGATGGGGGACTGTGGGCCCTTGTGGGAGGTCTGTGTCAACCAGGAAGTCTGGGTGGTAGTTAGGGCCCTACCAAATTCACAGCCATGAAAAATGTGTCACAGACCGTGAAATCTGGTCTCTCCTCCCATGAAATCTGGTCTTTTGTGTGCTTTTACCCTATACTATACAGATTTCAGTGGGGAGACCAGTGTTTCTCAAATTGGAGGTCCTGACCCAAAAGGGAGTGGCGGGGTGGGTCACAAGGTTATTTTGGGGGGCAGCGTAGTATTGCCAACCTTACTTCTGCACTGCCTTCAGAGCTGAGTGGCCGGAGAGCAGCATCTGTTGGCCAGGCACCCAGCTCTGCAGGCGGCAGCGCAGAAGTAAGGGTGGCAATACCATACCAGGCCATCCTTACTTCTGCGCTGCTGCTGGCAGCAGTTCTGCCTTCAGAGCTGGGCTCCTGCCCAGCAGCTGCCACTCTCCAGCTGCCCAGCTCTGAAGGCAGAGCTGCCGGCAGCAGCAGAGCAGAAGTAAGCAGTACTGCAACCCCCTGCCCCCATAATAACCTTGCAACCCCCCCCCCCCCCACACACGCACACGCACAACTCCTTTTTGAGTGTGAACCCTTACATTTACAACACCGTAAAATTTCAGATTTAAATAGCTGAAATCATGAAATTAATGGACTGTGAATTTGGTAGGGCCCTAGTTATAGTGGAGAATTAGGTGCATGAGCCACCTGGACTACAGTTCCCAAGAGGCATGGCAGTGGCTTGGCAAGAGGGTGAAGGCAGAGCATGGTAGATATAGTTCAGTGAGGTCCCCTGGCCTATGGAGGGGGATGGGGGGATGAGGTAGCCAGACTACAGCTCCCAGGAGGCACTGCAGCCAGCTCCAGGTCTCCTTCTGCAGGCCCTGGGTGTCTGTTAGCTCGAGGTGCCTCCATAGCGAGGTTTGGGAGCCATGGCCACCGCTTCCCCCCCTGCTAGTGTCACAGCGCCTCCCATTGTCCTTCCAGATCGCCGTCCAGAACCCCCTGGTGTCGGACAGACTGGAGCTGTCAGTTCTGTACAAGGAGTACGCGGAGGATGATCACATCTATCAACAAAAGATCAAGGTAGGTACCAGCCAGGCCCTCCCTGCTCTAGGACCTTCCCCCCCAATCCAAGCCTCTCGATTCCAGGCCCTTTCCTCCTTAGTCTCCCTGTCTGATCTCCCTAGGTCCCGTGCTCCTCCTGGCTCCCCCATCTCCTAATTGCAGGCCCCAGCCTGCTTCACCCTGACACCTAAATCCCAGACCTCTCTCCCTCCATAGTCCCCCAGCCTCCCCTCGAGCTCTCCATCCCAGCCCCTCAATCTTGGCCTCTCCCTCCCTCCCCTCCTCCCCCCCCCCTCCCCGGCTGCTCCTCAGTTTATCTCTAGGTTCACCACCACCACCCCTTGAAAATCCTGGCCTTCCCTGGCCACACAGTCGCCCCTCCTTAGCATTGTCCCTCAGACTCCCCTCTCTAAGTTGTCTGCTCCCCATCCGCTGAATTCTAAGCCTTCCCCGCCAGGCTTTGGCAGGAGCAGGAGGTGTAATAATGCTTAGTATTTATGTGGCACTGTCGGCCACTAACCTCCCAGTCCCTTTCCCTAGGAGAGACTAATTTTGCCTTTCCCCCCTCCCCGCACAGGACCTGCTCAAAAAATACTCATACATCCGAAGACGCGGCCCGACGGCAACTGTTTCTACCGGGCGTTTGGCTTCTCGCATCTGGAGGCCCTACTGGAGGACAGCAAGGAACTGCAACGGTAGGGTGGGGCCCTGTTGGAGACCGGAGTCCACCATCCCCCACAACAAGGGGGTCGGTGTGGTGGGAGGGCAGTGGGAGACCGTGCGGCCTAGCAAGGGGAGAGTGCTGGGCTAAGAGGAGGGAGACCTGGGGTTTATTCCCAGCTCTGCTGCTGGTTTCCAGGTGACCTTGGGCAAGTCCCTTCCCTCTCTGGGCCTCAGTGTCCCCATCTGTAAAATGGGGATGATGATACGACAGTGAAAAGCGCCATATAAGAGCTAGGGGGGATTATTAGCCTGGCTCGCATGGATTGCCGCTTCTATCCTGGAGGGCAGGCTGGGTGATTGGAAAGGCCTCAGCGTGTGACTCCTGCCAAGTCAGAGCTCCGGCTGCATGGCATCTTCCTCAAATCGAGGACACTCCTTAGACCGTAAGGATCCTCCACCCCTTTTGGGTTTGAAACAAATGCTAATTATTCAGATCTTATTTACGGCACTGGATCAGCACTCCTGGGTTCAATTCCCAGTTCTTCTTTGAGTGATGGTCCTTACGTGGATTTCAGACGTGCGTGTGCATGTGCTGAAGCTGGAACTGTTCATAGTAGGGTCCGTTGACCTGCACGTGTGTAGTGTGTTGGCTGCATGGCGGATCCGAGGCTTTAAGGGGCTGTGCGGGTCGACGCCGCTCCAGTTCTCTCTTACTGCCGCACGGGTAGAGTCGGAACCCCTGTTCCCCAGTGTTCATAGCTCGCTAAGAGAACTGCTCTCTGTTAATTGTATATAGTTTTTCTGTAGTTCTTAGTACTTAGTTGTCCGTTTATTAGTTAGCTGTTAGTTACTTAGGTTTCCATTGGACTTTCTCACCTCTGGGGGCTTCTTCCTGGCCCGGGAGTATGCCCCGGCAAGCTGGTTTTAAATACTGTGCTTTCTGCCCGCACTCCTTCTGTCTCTGCTGTCTTGGTGACACTCATATCGCCACCCGCTGCTCCATCTGTCGCTCGTTCCCACCTCGTACCTGGGAAACCAGAAAACTTTGCTTCCGCAAATTCTTTATGGAGGAGGCTGTGTGCCCCCATGTGCAATCGGATCCGGCGGCCAGGACGTCCTGGGGCCCTTCCTACCTGGCACTGGTGGCACTGTTCCATTTGGCTAAAGCCCACCGTGCACACTAGAAGCACGCTCATGGGCATAAAGGCAGCTCCCCGACGGGGACCGTCTCCAAGCGCAGTGTTGCCTCCCCGAGCTGTGCCAGATCGGGTGAGAAGTCACGCACCAATCTGGACGCTCCTGCTCTGAGGAAGTCTCGCACGGAGCATAAGTCCAAGCACCGCGCCCCAGCAGTGCTTCCTCCAGCCCCGGTGACTGATCTGTCACCGTCATCTCTGGCTCCTTCTACCCCACCAGGATCGTCCAAACTTGCGTGCCCGGACCCACGCACATTGGGCTGTCTGTCCCCTCTTACACCGACAGCTAAACTCAGGCTGCTATATACTGGCTCACCTCCACGCCCCGGTCCTTCAGGCACTTTCTGTCTGCCGTGGATGAGCTACTCCTGCTCCAGCCTGCTGTTCCACTCTGTCTTTCTCCACCGGACCCTTTGCACAAACTCTCGGATCGCCCGGCCTTCACCCCCCTATACTGCTGGCACTGCTGGCTCTGACAGCCCCACCCTTACTGGACCCGTCTGCGGACTCTGAGTGGTCCTCAGAACCGAACACTGCCTTCTCGCCTGCCCGGTCTTACAGCCCAGAACACCGGCACCAACTGTACCATCAGCTGTCTGCTCTGCCAGCTGATCCGTGGTTCTGCTACCCATGGGCACTGTCAATGCCTGGTGACCCCTATGTGTCACCCTACTGGACTGCATGGAACTCCTACCGTGACCCAGGCGTGCTGCCCTGTCTGCATCACTGCCCTTCTTCAGTGCTCACTGCTCCTTCCTCTGTGTACAAGGAGCCTCTGATCGTTTCCACGCCAGCAGCGCCATCGCCCCCTCCAGTCAATATGGGCACCTCTTTGTTCCCTGACGATGCTCTGATCACATGCAGTACCAGGACTTGCTTCAGTGCATGTCTACACCCCTCAACCTGCCTGTCGAAGGTGTCCAGGATCCACAAAACCAATTCTTGGACATCCTGCAACCCCCTGGACCCTCCTGCACTGCCCTCCCTATTCACATAGCCCACATGCAGCCAGCCCAAGCCACTTGGTGCACCCTGGCCTCTTGTGCTCCTACCCCGAAATGGAGAGAGCGCCGCTACTTTGTGCCTGTGAAGGACATGGACTTTCTCTTCACCCACCCCCACCCCTATTCGCTGGTGGTACAAGCTGTGACTGAGCACGCCCACCAACAGCATTTCCGTTCCATGCCACCTGACCAGGCCGCCAAAAAGTTGGACCTGCTGGGCCGCAAGGTTTACTCTTCTGCTGGCCTCGAATTCCGTATTGCCAGTTACCAGACCAATCTGGCCAAGCACGATTCCTTTTGTACTCTAAGCTGGTGGACTTTCAGGCCTTCCTACCCCCAGAAAAACAGCAGGATTTCCAACACCTTGTGGACGAGGACAGGCTGGTGGCTAAAGTAGCTCTCCAGGCCGTGGCTGATGCCGCTGATGCCACATCCTGCTCCCTGGCATCCAGGGTCGTTCCCCGCCGGGACTCCTGAGTCCAGTCCAGTGGCTTCCCGAAGGAGGTTCTGACCACCCTGGAGGACCCTCCATTTGAGAAACAATAAATTGTTCAGTGACAAGACGGAGGAGTCTTTGCTTTCTCTCAAAGACTCTCACACCACTCTGGTCGCTGGGCCTTTATACCCCATCCTCAACTCACTGCTAACAACTTCTGACCCGTCCCCATTCCACATACCAGCCTTACCCGCAGCGCCTGCCTGACTCGTCCCATCATCGCCCTGTTCACAATGACCATGCTCTGCTGCTGCAGCTACTTCTTCCACATGTGCCTTTCCGCAACGTCCTCCCAAGCAACCCTTCTGACTCCTTCCTCGAGACCTGCAAACCTTCCTCTACCCCCCCCTTCCCCCTGCCGGGTCGCCTCATCTCCTTTGCTCACAACTGGGGCCAGATTATCACCGACTGCTGGGTGCTGGACATCGTCCACCAGGGCTACCTTATGGAATTCCTTTCCTTCTTGCCCTGCTGTCCACCCCAGTAGCACCTGGGCACTTCCTTGCATTGCCACCTTCTCAGAGAGGGAGCAGATGCCCTCCTGCGGAAGGGCACCATAGAACTTGTCCTGCATCCCTATCGGGCCTGGGGCTTCTACTCTCCTTATTTTCTCATGCCAAAGAAAGGGGGTAGCCGTCACCCTATTCTGGACTTCCGGCTCTTGAACAAATTTATCTGCAGATTCCATTTCTGGATGGTCACCCTTCCCCTCGTTCTCTCCTCCCTTCCCCGTGGAGCCTGGTTTGCAGCTCTCAATATGAAGGACGCCTACTTCCATACTGATATCCACCCCGCTTATTGCAAGTTCTTCCAAATCACGGTGGGCCATTCCCACTATCAGTTGTGGGTCCTCCCCTTCAGTATTGCTACCGCCCCCCACATGTTCACGAAGGTCTTCACGCAGGCTACTGGGGGCGATGCCCTCCTCCTGTCCTGGATCACTCACCTCTGCTATGCGTTCCTGCCCATTCCCCTGCTCCCCCAGGTCCTGCGCGAGGTGTGGCATGTCCACGCAACTCTTCTCCTCATTGCCTCCACCTGGCTTCACCAGTACTGGGACACGGATCTCCTACATCTCTCTGCTCGTCCTCTGATCTGTCTCCCGGATCTCCTTACGCCAGCGAATAGCCAACTGCGACATCCCAACCCAGGCACTCTCCATCTCCCGGCCTGCTATCTGGATGGGCTCGCGCATACACAATGCATGCTCGTTCCCTGTCCACGACATCCTTATCCATAGCCGATTCCCGTCCACTCGAGCATGTTACCGAACCAAATGGCACCATTTTACTGGCTGGGTGCAACACCGCCTGCACACCATCTCCATTCCCGTCGTCCTGGATTACCTCCTTTCTCTCGGTCAGTCAGGCCTCGCCCACTCCTCCGTCCGCATCCACCTGGCTACGCTTAGTGCCGTCCTTCTGTCTTTGGATGGATTTTCCATCTTCACCCACCAGACTACCTCCTACTTCCTTCGCAGCCTTCTCAACGCCTTCCCTGCTGTCCAGAAGCCTACTCCTTCCTGGGACCTTCACCTCTTGCTTTTCACCCTCACCAAGCCGCCCTTTGAACCACTCACCACCTGCTCCCATACCCATCTTTCCATGAAGGTGATCTTTTTGGTAGCTGTTACCTCCGCATAGTGCATTAGTGAACTGGTGGCCATGATGTCTTTCACTGTCTTCCACAAGGACAAGGTCTCCCTGTGCCTCCATTCCAAATTTCTGCCCAAGGTGGCCTCACCATTCCATGTCAACTGGTGTGTGCACCTCCTGACCTTCTACCCCAAACCACACGCCTCCCCTCGAGAACATGCACTCCACGCTCTCGATGTTTGGCGGATATTGGCCTTTTATCTTCACCAATATCTCCATTGCTGGGAAGCTTCTTGCTAGAATCTTACTGAATCGTCTGCTCCCTCTTGCAGAGGAAGTACTTCCAGAGTCCCAGTGTGGCTTCAGACCACCACGGGGTACCACTCACAAGATTTCCACAGCCACGCAAATCCAGGAAAAATGTCAAGAATACCACCAGGAGTTGTATATGGCCTTTATCAATCTGACCAAAGCCTTCGACTCTGTCAACTGTGAGGCTCTGGAAAATCATGTCAAAGTTTGGCACAGAGACAAAAAAGTTTGGCTGCCCAAGCAAATTTATCACCATTGTAAGACTCCTCCGCGACCAGATGACTGCCTCCATCCTGTGCAGTGGCTCTGTCTTTGAGCCCTTTGTCATCCGAACTGGCATAAAACAAGGCTATGTACCAGCACCCTCCCTTTTCTCCATTTTCTTAGCAGCTATGAAAATACTAACCCAAGACCATCTACAAAAGGGCATTGGCATCCAGTATCAGACTGACTGCAACTCTTCAACCTTTCTTGTCTCTGTGCCAGAACTAAACTAATATCGGGAACAATAACCGAACTCCAGTATGCCGATGATTGTGCTGTAGTTGCACACTCAGAGGAGGATCTGCAAACAGCCCTTAATTGCTTCTCTGACGCTTACAAAAGCCTGGGGCTGTCTCTGAACATCGGCAAAACAAAAGTTCTCCACCAGCCAGTCCCCGGTCAATCATCAACAAGGAAGATCTTCATTGTCAAAGAAGAACTGGAAAATGTAGACTGCTTTACCTGTCTTGGCAGCCATCTCTCAGAGAGGGCAGACATAGACGTTGACATTCAGCACAGAATTCACTGTGCCAGCCTAGCCTTTGGCAGACTGTCTCGCCGGGTGTTCAACAATCACAACATTAGAACACATACTAGACTTATACTCGTTTGTAAAGCAGTGGTAATCCCAGCTCTCCTCTACGAGACTTGGGTGACCTACAGAAAACACCTGGAATGCCAGCACTTTCTTCAGAAGATGAGGATCATCGCACTAATGTCAGTGTCTTCACAGAGGCCAACATCTTCAGTGTTGAGGCCCTGATTATCCAGCATCAGCTGAGGTGGAGCAGGCACTGTGTGCCGATGCCTCATGTACGCTTACTAAAACAACTGCTGGGGTACGTCCAACTCACCAAAGGAGACAGGAAACAGGGAGGCCAAAAGAAACACTTTAAAGCAGTGGTTCTCAGACTTTTGTACTGGTGACCCCTTTCACATAGCAAGCTGCTGAGTGCGACCCCCTTTATAAATTAAAAACACTTTAAAATGTATTTAACACCATTATAAATGCTAGAGGCAAAGCGGGGTTTGGGGTGGAGGCTAACCGCTTGCAATTCCCCAGGTAATAACCTTGCGACCCCCTGGGGGGCCCTGACCCCGATTATGAGAACCCCTGATTTAAAGACCACCCTCAAGATAAACATCAAGAGATGTGACATTGACACCACACACTGGGGGAGAGCAGCCCAGGATAGGGATAACTGGTGAAGACTTGTCAGAGAGGGAACATCCACTTTTGAGGAAAATTGCCTTGCCCTGGTCGCAGAAAAATGCCAGAAAAGAAAGAAAGGAAAGACAACTGTCATGCAGCAATTGTGGCCCAACCGTCTTCCAACACCACCTGCAACGTCTGCCAGCGAACCTGTGGCTCAAGGATTGGACTCGTCAGTCACCAAAGGACCCATGGAAAATAAAACCTGTGAAAGAGATCTTCCTCGACCTCAAGGGATCACCGATGACATTGAGCAGATGTTTTGAGAGAACTCTCCAGAATGATTCCAAGAGCTCTTTCTTGAGTGGTAACATCTAATTTAGACCCCTAATTTTATATGTAGAGTTGGGATTATGTTTTTCAATTTGCATTACTTTGCATTTATCAACATTGAATTTCATCTGCCATTTTGTTGCCCAGTCACCCAGTAACTCTTCGCAGTCTGCTTTGGACTTAGCTATCTTGAGTAGTTTTGTATCATCTGGAGATTTTGCCACCTCACTGTTTACCCCTTTTTCCAGATCATTTATGAATATGTTGAATAGGACTGGTCCCAGTACAGACCCCGGGGGACACCACTGTTTACCTCTCTCCATTCTGAAAACTGACCATTTATTCCTACCCTTTGTTTCCTATCTTTTAACCTGTTACTGGTTATCCCTTCCGTCTTATCCCATGACAGCTTACTTTGTTTAGGAGCCTTTGGTGAGGGACCTTGTCAAAAGCTTTCCTCAAATCCAAGTACCCTATATTCACTGAATCCCCCTTGTCCACAGGCTTGTTGAGCCCCCTCAAAGAATTCTAGTAGATTGGTGAGTCATGATCTCCCTTTACAAAAACCATGTTGACTCTTCCCCAACAAATCATGTTCATCTGTGTGTCTGACAATTCTGTTCTGTACTATAGTTTCAACCAGTTTGCCTGAAGTCAGGCTTACCGGCCTGTAATTGCCGAGATCACCACTGGAGCCTTCTTAAAAAATTGGCCTCACATTATCCTCCAGTCGTCTGCTATACAAGCTGATAGGTTTCATACAACAGATAGTTCTACAGTTTCACATTTGAGTTCCTTCAGAATTCTTGGGTGAATGCCATCTGGTCCTGGTGACATATTACTGTTTAGTTTCTCTTTGTTCGTTCCAAAACCTCCTCTAATGAGACCTCAATCTGGGACAGTTCCTCAGTTTTGTCATCTAAAAAGAATGGCTCAGATTTGGGAATCTCCCTCACATCCTCAGCCCTGAAGACCAATGCCAAGAATTAATTTACTTTCTCCGCCATGGCCTTGTTGTCCTTGAATACTCCTTTAGCATCTCGATCGTCCAGTGGCCCAGTTGGTTGGCTTCCTGCTTCTGATGTACCTGCTTTTTTTTTTGGCTAGTACTTGTTGAGTCTTTGGCTAGCTGTTCTTCAAATTCTTTTTTGTCTTTCCTAATGATATTTTTAGACTTCATTTGCCAGAGTTTATGCTCCTTTCTATCCTCCTCAGTAGGATTTAACTTCCACTTTTTAAAGGATGCTCTTTTGCCTCTCACTGCTTCTTTTATGTTGTTGTTTAGCTATGGTGGCACTTCTTTGGTTCTCGTACTATGTTTTTTAATTTGGGGTATACATGTAAGTTGAGCCTCTATTATGGTGTCTTTAAAAAGTTTCCATGCAGGTTGTAGGGATTTCACTTTTGGCCCTGTCCCCTTTAATTTCTGTTTAACTAACCTCCTCATTTTTGTGGGTTCCCTTTTCTGAAATTAAATGACACGTTTCACCTCCTCAATCTCTCCTGTTCTCTCCCTGGGCTAAAATGCTTTGCTCTAATTCTGGTGCTTGGATTTAGCATGCGGGTGCCAGGTGGGGTTGGTGGCCTGTGATACAGAGGGGGTCTGACTAGATGATAGGGTGGTTCCTTCTGGCCAAAAACTCTATGACCTCCTCCTTCCCCCCTGCCCATACTGACCCCATCTCATCTCATCTCATGCAGGTTCAAGGAGATCTCTGCCAAAAGCAAGGAGGACCTGGTGTCCCAGGGCTTCACAGAGTTCACGATTGAGGATTTCCATAACACGGTGAGTGACATTCCCCCCATGGGTTGGGAGCAGATGCCATCGGATGGGATGGTCGGAGCAGATATAGACCTGTGAGACCTCAGTTTGATTCTTGGATTTCCTGCAGGCTGCCTGGGCAGCTTCATGTAAACCACTTCCCTCCCTCCAATTAGGCCCTCGGTTTCCCCAAGCTGAGGACACCAGCTCAACCGTGCATGTATGCCACTGTAACAGACCAGAGTCCGGCCCGTTTATTCTAACTCTCAGAGAGCCATGGGTTGGGCAGTGGAGCAAGGGGTCTGCCTCTAACACCCTCCCTCACGTGCCCCTCCAGTTCATGGACCTGATAGAGCAAGTGGAAAAGCAGATCACGGTTTCCGAACTCCTGTCCTCCTTCAACGATCAGAGCACCTCTGACTATCTGGTGGTGTACCTGAGACTGCTGACCTCCGGCTACCTACAGCGCGAGAGCAAGTTCTTCGAGCACTTCATCGAGGGAGGCCGCAGCATCAAGGAATTCTGCCAGCAGGTAGGGGCAGCAGGGTCTAACCAGAGTTTGCTCTCCCCGCCATCTCTAAATCCTATGCTTACACCACACTGGGCACGAGGAATTTCGGGGTGGAAGATCCATGGCATGATTTTGCACTGGGGTGCCCCGTCCCTCCCAAACCATCTTGGAGTGGGAACTACAGCCCAACTTCTCCCTGTGTCGAGGAGATCTCTGGGTAGCAAGGCCGAGACCCAGTCGACTTGTGATCTGAGGAGGATTGGTTGGGGGTGCTGAAACCCAGCTGACTCATGATCTCAGTAGCATCCACAGTTGGTTCCTGGGGCAGGGGACAGGATGGGAAGGGACGGTACAGGACAGGACTAGCCTACCCTGCCCTTGGGAGAGGGGTTGAGATCCAATAAATGTGTGATCTGAGTAGGATTCACAGCTCGTTCCCTGGAGGGACCAGAATGGGGTCCCTTGTCCATTGAGAGAGGTCACTGAGATCAGCTGACTTGTGATCTCAGTTAGATCTCTAGGTAATTCCCCTGGGGGGATCCTCTGTGGGGCGGAATGGGGCGAAGGGCCCTGGCCAACTGGCATATCGATAGGTAGGAGGAGGCGGGGAGAGCTCTGTGACCCAACAAACTTGTGATCTGCATAGGAACCAGAGGTAGGTTGCTGGAGGAGGGGAGGCCTGTCAAGCCCCACCTGAGGCAGGATGTCGGTAGCATCCGTAGGCAAGTCCCCAGGTCGGGCAGGGCAGGCTCCCTAACCCTCCGTGTCCCACTTGATTCCTTCCAGGAGGTGGAACCCATGTGCAAAGAGAGCGACCACATCCACATCATCGCCCTGGCTCAGGCCCTGAATGTGTCTATCCTGGTGGAGTACATGGACCGGGGCGAGGGTGGAGGCACTAACCCCCACGTCTTTCCAGAGGGCTCGGAGCCCAAGGTGTATCTACTGTACAGACCGGGACACTACGACATCCTGTATAAATAGGTGCCGGCCAGCTGCCTCTGCTCCCTCCCCACAGGTGTCCCGTGGCTCCCCCGTCTCCCTACCGGCAGTCTCTGTGGTTGTAAATGGTAATCTCGCGCGCTGCTCTCTCTCTTTGTTTTCCGTTGTTACACTTGCCCGTCTGTGTTTTATTAAAGGGGATGCTGGTGAATGGAGCCCCGCTTGTATGGTGGATTTGTTCAGGTTGCAAGGGGGCAGTTAGCTATTGTCCCCTGGCCTGTCTATCCCCACCCGCCTTGGATTAGAGCAGACCATTGGGCCTGTCCAGGCACCAGTGTCCCCCTTCCCCCCGACCTTGCCTGTGGTCCTGTGTAGTCTGCTGTGGGACCTTGGGCTGCAATTGCCCCCAGCTCCTCATATACCTGAGTGGAAAGGTGCAGCCCTGAACATAGCTGTGGCTGCTGTTCACCCTTGTCCTCTGAACATAGCCTGGATTGTTTTGCCTCTCATCTGATAGCTTGCGGTAGCGAACCCCGAGGCTGAGAAGTCAGTTGGCGTTGCATCTGAAAAGGCCGTCTGAAAGATCTGTCTTGAGGTTGCAAAGCAGAATGCTCGGAAGTTAGGAGACGCCTGCCTGTGCTATCGTCGTCTTCATCTGCCTGGGTCGGTAAGTGCCCGGGATGGAGAGCGATTCGTTTCTTTTTGTCCTCCTCCAGCCCCCTCTGCTGTTTGCTGCCCTGCCCCAGAGGCAGAATTCTGAAGAAGTTCTCTGTGGGCTTCGACAGGGTGTCCTCCAGGGCAGGAAGCACCCTGTGTGGTGGTGGTGTGCCCATTGGAGAGGTGGGTCAGCACCTGCCTCTAAAAAGTCGGGTGGAGGCACCTTGCTCACTATGGCAGAGCCTCATCTGACTGCGTGAGCCAGAGGAGATTCCTTTTGTGGAGAAACTGCTATGGAGGTGGTCCCATGTCAGTACACTGCCTCCATTTGAATTACCCCAGTGGAAGGCTGATTAGAATCAGTGTTTCAAGGTGGACTTCATTTATTAAAGAAGACAGCTTTAGCTTGGGTCAGTTTACAACTCAGCAGAGGTGGTAACAGTCAGGGGCTAGGCTATCCTGAGAGTTACTGCATGGCTTGCTATTTATTGTCTTAATTCAGTGGTATGTTAGAAAACAGCAAAGGCTCCTTTGCTCAGGGAAATGCACCAAGGCCTTAAGACAGGCCCAGCTAAGAAGTGAAGCTTGACCTCAAGATGTTGGGGTAAGGCTCCTACCAAGTTATTTCCATGTGTTGTCCTTTCAGTAAGGATCGCTTTGATTTGTCAGTCCCGGGGCTGAACACCTTGCTGCTGCCCCACTCGGTTCCAGCAAGACTTGCTTTCCCATGGAGGCATGAGTGCAGTTGAGCTCTGCCTCCTGCCAATAGTTAGAGGCTCTACCCCTTTTCCAATACTGCCCCCTGGTGAGGAAGCCCCTCTAACCAACAGTCACCCTTTTGTCAATCATGAAGAACCTTGTGGTTGTTAAGCTGAGGTGCCAGTTTAGTAATCCATGATAGTTCATGCTGAACATACATAATATATCACACTACGCTTTAGATAGATCCTGCTCCCACTAGCCCTTGGCACCATGCAGGCAGTGGAACTGCTCCTGGCAGCTCAGGGATCCATCTGAGCAGCAGGGAAATGCTCTGGTACCTTCATGCTGACACCAAAGCTGGGCCTTTGTCTTTGAGCTGCTCTGAAGCAAAGTTCATGTCACCTGGGGTGGGGAAGAGGAGGAGGAGAAAGACAGGTAAAAATGACTCCCAGCTGCATTCTTTGCATTGAGACAGTCACCTCAGGGGTGGGAATTTCCAGTGCTCGGCCATATGGTCACCTCCATGCCCTCTCTGTCTGCCAATACCTTTAGGAGGCCCCATTCCAGCAGTTCTGTGGTTTTAGGGAATGAGATAGGCCTCGATGGTCAAAGCCAATTAATTGCAGGAGGGGGAGGAACACCCTGAAGGATGCATCTCCCAGACAAAGAAGCAATGGTAGGGAGAACGAGGGTACAGCTGCTAGGCTGAATAGGTGCTGCCCATGGGAGAGAAACTGAGGGGCCCCTGGTGTTTGGGGTGAGCTTGGCCAACACAAGCAATATGCCCTGTGCCCCATAGTTTAGTTGGCCGCTGGAACTTAGAGGCAGGCTCACAACTGTTTTCAAGATCAGAACAACCTACCCTGTGATGCAGTGTGCTCCCTCCCCCGGAGTCTTGCCCTAGGGAGGGGCTTGTCCAACAGAAATATCCCATCCTGGATGCAGGCAGGGCTGGGAGAGAGCTTCCCATCTGGGTTTGAGTGACTCATTGGAATGATCTTTCCCGCCTCTGAAGCAGCTGACCCTGAACTCCACTCTGCTGCTTCAGCCTTTTGCTCAGCCCCGGTGGCTTGGGCCTGATTTGCACACCGGACCTGGGGAGAGAATGAGAGCGGCTCAGCTGAAGCCCACAAGCTGTGAGGGGCATGCTTTATCAGCCCTTGCTTTTAATACCTAGTGTGCCATGAGCCCTGCATGGGACGATTGTGTTGAATCCTGCTCCCACCTACAAAACCTGAGATTGGTACCTCTAAACAGAAGGGGACAATTTTCTAAAGCTTTAAAATTAAAAAAAGGGGGGGTGTTGCAGCCCCTATAAAGAATTCTGTCCTATTAGACCTTGTCCTAACAGAGAGTGGAAGTGCTCACCAAACTAAAAATTAATGGTAGCTTAGCTACCAGTGCTCATGACTTGATCACATGCCAGTTTCACAAAGCTGAGAACAATTTTAATCAAATCAGCTGGAAGGAAAAATTTAATCAGAAAAATATTAATTGGTAAAAGTCTCACAGGATACCCAGAAAGCCACAATACCACACTTGTGGAAGACAGCTGTGCTGGTTAAGAGCGTTTAGAGGGGAAATGAAGGCAGCAATAAATAGATTATAAACACATGGAAGAAGAGGCAAGTTGACAGTACTGAATGCAAGTCAGAAGTTAGGCATTGTAGGAAGTTGATCAGGGAAGCCAAGAGATAAGGAAAAGCTATGGCTGGCAGTATAAAGGAAGTTTTAAGCTATATACACTTTCCATGCTACTGGGTTCTATGGAAGCTGTTAGAAGCTACTAAAGTCAGATATTTAAAAAAAAAAAAAAACCCAGCAGATCTAGATAACTTGTACCCAAGAGTTTTAACAGAGCCAGGTGAGGAGCTCACTGCAGAGTTACTGTTGCCTTGGAGCACAGGGAAAGTTCCAGAAAAAAGCTAATCTGCCAGTTTAAAAAAGGGGTAAATGGTATGATGGCGTTAATTATAGGCCTGCTATTGACTCTGGACAAGATAACGGAGCAGCTAACAGGGGACTTGATCACAAGAACAAAACAATTCAATAGGGGTTCCTGGAAAGTAGCTCCTGCCACATTCCCTTTTCTGGAGGAGTTTGGTTGATCAAGGTAATAGCACTGAGGTAGCAGATGTCTGTAATGCATTTGACTGTCAAAAACCCAAACCCTCTAGAGTTACGGCACATGTGACACGAATTAAGAACTAGCTAAGGGATAGGTCTCACCACGTAATGGGAGTGGTCATTAAGGGGGTCTGTTTCCAGTGGGGTCCCACAGGAATTCGTTCTTGGCCTTATGCTCTTTAACATTTTTATCTGTGACCTGGAAGAAAACAAAATAGTCACTGATAAAGTTAGCTGATGACAAAGATTGGGGGAGTGGTAAATAATGAAAGGGCAGGTCACCCATTCAGAGCAATTTGGATAGTTTGATAAACTGCCTACAACCAAACTATTTACATTAAAATACACTCTACATCTAGGAGCAAAGAGTGCAGGCCATATACATACACAATGGAGGTCTTGCTCCTGGGAAGTGGCTACTGACAGCGGTGTGGGTCATCGTGGATAATCAGCTGAACGCAAGCTAGGTGCGATGCTGTGGCCAAGAAGAGCTAATGTGATCCTGGGATGCACAAACTGGGGAATCTTGAGCAGGGAGATCATTTTCCTCTGCATTTGGCAATGGTGCGACCTACAGCCTGTTCTGGGGCTTACAATTGAAGAAGGATGTTGAGAAATTGGAGGGATTCTGAGAAGAGCCAGGAGAAGGATTACAAAACATGCCTTATAGTGAGAGACTCAATCTCTATTTAGCTTGCCAAAGGGAAGATTAAGGGGTGACTTGAACACAGTCTGTAAGTAGCTACCTGGGGAACTGATAGTTAATAATGGGTGCTCCAGTCTAGCAAAGAAAGGTCTAACAATCCAATGGCTGGAGATTGAAACTCGACACAGACTGGAAAGAGGACACGCTTTCTTAGTGTGCACCTTCGTAATTAACCCTTGGGAAGGCTTACCGGGGTCCAGGTGGATTCTCCCTCGTTGACAGTTTTGAAATCAGGATGGGATGTTTTTCTAAAGAGATCTGCTCTGGGAATTATTTTGGGGCAGTTCTCTGGCCTGTGTCGTACGGGAGGGCAGAGACCATGATCCTAATGGTCCCTTTGTGCCTTAGAATCTATGACATCAAATAGTAGAGGTCTTAAAGGAGTTTTTAGAGTAAGGGCCGGGGGAGGGCCAACAGGTGCGGAGGAGTATGTGATTCAGCCAGACACATTCCTTAGCGGAGGATTTATTAGAAGGGGAAATGATCTCCTAGGAAAGAGGAGAGGATCGACATTGATAACATAGGTAGGACCTAAAGAGAAATGGTCAAATGAAAACAGTCCCAATCACATCACATGGAGGCAGATGAGTAAATATGGACCAATTTGATCAGTAGGCCATGTTGGTGGGGAAATGGCGCCATGCTAAAAAAGTCAGACTCCAATGAGATGATGGTCTTGAATCAAACCGTACCGTGGAATCGCTATGGGCAGAATGTCTATGCTTGAATAATAAGAGTAGAAATATAATCCTGACCAGCAGAGTGATGGTGATTGCATAATCTCAGGGGAAATGAGAGGCTATACAAACAGAAAACCCAACAACGGAGGAATTCAGCTATCTTTTTATTGACAGGGGACATGTCCCCTCGGTATGGGATGCTGAGATAACATTTCTAGACACCATTAATGACTACTTCTCGCAGCAGCTTGTCCTGGGACCCACAAGGGGAGAGGCAATTCTTGGTTCGATCCAAAGTGGTGCATGGGATCTGGTCCAAGAGGTCACTACAGCTGAACTGCTC